ACACAACACAAAAACCACACCACATCATACAACAACCACACCACCAATCCCCACACACAAGAAACACCCACTGAATGAGCATGCACAAATTTGCATACACTTCAAACCCCACACACTCTACAAAACACCATATTTAAAGTACACACAAATCCACACACAAACAAATCCATACACACTCTCCACATAAAACAACCCGCACATGCCACACAAACCCACACACCAAAAACACACCACATAAAATCAACACACACATAGCCCCTTTACACACACACGAAGCACCCTCAACACCAGCCCCCACATAACCCCTCACAACCCTCCACACAACCCCCCCCCCCACACCACCCCACATCCTCACATGACGCTACTCCCACCAGCCCGCCCCGTCGCGCACACGGGTGTCACGTGTTCGACCGGTCCCACCGGCCGGTGCTAGCGTGAGCAGTGTTTACATCTAGACTCGGCTGGAACTTACCAAACAATGCACGTACCTCCGTTTTACGGATCACAGACTTGCCACATTGGAATTTACGGCCAAAAGCTATCAGACAAATTCATTTTGTTCGGCCTAATATTGAGATATTGCCCTGTACTTTAAAGATATAAAGAAACAATTTTTTAAGAATTTCTTTTTTTAGAATTTGGTTCGTAGTTTTAAATCATTTTTAAAATCTCAAAATGTACAGATTTTTTTTAAAGTTGTAACCAACATGTTGTTTTTATGACGTTGTAAATAACATACTCATACATATAGATTTTCTTTGTTTTTTTTTATAGATATGGCATGCTGATACAGCTTTGAAGCTAGGAGGTGATATATTCAAGTACGGCGTGTGATTAGTACTGGAAGTTACGTCACTGGTCTACAAGAGGTTTGGCTCACTAATCCATCATCGGATTATTTAAACAGGCTATCGTCTGCTAAACTAACGATGTTAGAAGATTCAAGATTTCAATGTTCGGTACGGATGGAGTATCGGTTTTAACACCCGGATTATCTAATTTAACAGCCGGATTATCTATTATAACAGCCGGATTATCTATTGTAACTTACGGATTATCTATTGTAGCTCACGGATTATCTGTTTTGAAACCCGGATAAACTACTTTTTGGTTCACGTGAAAAATTGTGCCGCTTATGTGATGTAAAATCAGTTTTTTTATGTAGTGTGATTTGATGAGCTTTAGATGAAGGCGAGAAAAATTAGTCGTGAATTTCGATTGGTTGATAAGTAGACCAATCAGGAGCGGTGTAACATTCGAGCGTTGGATTAGTGGCGCGTGCAGGTGACGATGTTGTGTGTGGCAGAAACTTCGGGGATTATCTCACAGGTGATGTTTTACTTTGGTAGTTAATCCATGTTCTCTTGGTTTAGAGATTATTCTTTTAATCCATGTTCTCTTGGTATAGAGATTATTCTGTTAATCTATGTTATGTTGATTTATAGATTATTCTGTTAATCCATGTTCTGTTGGTTTGTAGATTATTCTGTTATTTGTAAGCTATGCTTCAGCAAGACGAATAAGTTTAAAATAATAAATACCCATATTGTAAATTACCTACATCATTAAATTAAATGAAACAAATACGCCACCGTTAGACTAAAATAATAAAACAACGACAGAAGTTGGAAAACTTATCAAACAGAAGCAAAAAGCTAAGAATAGTTACAGCTACACCGTAAGATAGCCGTGGGCGAAGTAATTTGATTCAATGAAATGCTACTTTATTTCTCAATTTAACCGGATTGGGAAACCACATAACCATATAACCACATAACCACTTAAACTCTCTGACCGACGATAAAATGGTGCTAAAATTCTAAAATTGTTTTTTCTTAGTTGGGCCGACCTTATTGTGGATAGTACCGACGTTATAAATGTAATAGAACCGACGTTGTAGTGAAAAATGCCGACGTTATAAATGTAATACTACCGACGTTATAGTGAAAAATGCCGACGTTATAAATGTAATACTACCGACGTTATAGTGAAAAATGCCGACGTTATAAATGTAATACTACCGACGTTATAGTGAAAAATGCCGACGTTATAAATGTAATACTACCGACGTTATAGTGAAAAATGCCGACGTTATAAATGTAATACTACCGACGTTATAGTGAACAATGCCGACGTTATAAATGTAATACTACCGACGTTATAGTGAACAATCCCGACGTTATAAATGTAATACTACCGACGTTATAGTGACGACGTTATTCTAGACAGTACCGACGCTATAGTGGATATTGCCGTGTAGTTTTACCTTAGTAACACTTCAGATTAATAATATATTTGTGTCGTGGCTCACATTTTTGAAAACAAAAATCTTGAAATATTTGTTGTTGTATGTTCTGTGTGTTGTAAAGTTCCCTTTCAAACCTGACAGTCTACTGGGCAAGTGAAGTAAAGTTCACTTGTTTTTGTGACCTCGTGAGTTAGGTACCCATTAGAGCTGGGTGGACTCGGAGACGGTCTACTGAGTTGAACCAAGATTACGGGTTAGCAGTCCAGCTCTCTACCGCTAGCCCACTCCGTCACTCTGATGATGTAGTGGCTGTTATTATTGTTGTGGCGTGTGTGTCGTCTAGTTATTGTTGTATATTGTTTGTGTTGTAGTAATTGTTGTATGTTGTTTGTGCTGTAGTAATTGATGTATGTTGTTTGTGTTGAGGTAATTGTTGTATGTAGTTTGTGCTGTAGTAATTGATGTATGTTGTGTATGGTCTAGTTGTTGTTGTTGTATGCTGCGTATGGTCTAGTTGTTGTTGTTGTATGCTGCGTATGGTCTAGTTGTTGTTGTGGTATACTGTGTATGGTCTAGTATGTTGTGTGTGGTCTAGTTTTCTCGACTGCCCGACTGAGTTATCTTCACTGTTGCGGGTCTATTTCTTGACCCAAACCCTAACGCAGACAAATTAGTTCTGTAAATACTAAACTCTAACGCAGACACTAATACAAACATTTTTAATCCGTAAAAACGAAACCCTAATGAAGACAAACACATTAATTCTGTAAATCCAAACCTTAATCCCAACACATTGAGTTAATCTACCTGTAGATACACGTCATTTTCCAGGTAACGCAACACCTAGACCATTTAACGTTTTAATTAACTCCACTCTAATAACCCCACGTCATTAGTCAGCCACTTGCCTATATCGACACGACAAATGCTCCTATTGGACAAAATGTCTTCAGACTTTTGACGAAATATAAAAAACAAACAGTATAGGCTGAACTAACGAATTACCTTTTGCAAATACAGTTATTGGCTAATCAATAGATGTGATTGCTCTAGAATTAACCTCTAGTTGGTTAAACGATTAAAACTGATCTGTTGAATTAGGTAATTGGAGCAACAGTTTGTAGAGGTAATTATTTAAATGGTTAAAACGTGTGTAATTTTGTACGGGATGTTTCAAATTCTGATGTTAGGATAAAAACAGGTTTTAATTCTAGTTTATATATATATATATATATATATATATATATATATATATATATATATATATATAATAAATATTCGCATGAGTAAATGTGTACTTGGCATCAAGTACGGGCTTTTAATGAGAGTTTAAGTCGACTATGATGTAAACAGATGGTGATTATTTTTTATCATAACAGGTGGTACTTTATTAAACCGACGTCATCGACATGCGACATTACATTATTGGACACTGTAAACAAAGTTTGCAAGTTTGACCGTTAAACTGGACTATTCTATGGCTGGTTTGACTGTTAAGCTGGACTAAGCTAGGCCAAGTTTGACCGTTAAACCGGACTATTCAAGGGAAGGTTTGACCGCTAAACAGAATATGTTAGGGTCATGTTTACATTCAGTGTCTGTCAGTTTCGTCGTTTCTAGGTAAAGTATGCTTAAAGTATGCATAAAGTATACATAAACTATACGTAAAGTATACGTAAAGTATACGTAAAGTATACGCTTTTATCAGTTGACCAGAATGACGTAAAATACTGGCCGTGTTAACCCTAGCTGCCCCACTTAGCCGCAGACGGATGTGGTGATCATTAACCCTCCGCGTACCTTGATTTGGTGAGATAAAAATTGTGTTACCTCATTTCCTGTCCACTTTTTCACGAACCTTTTTCCGATGAACACTTTGTTTAAGCAGATTTTCAAGGTCAGTAGAGATAATGTCAAGGTCATTTAAATAAACCGTTGCTATACGATGGCGATTTCGCCAGACATGCGCAATGTAAATTGAGGTGAATGAAAAATGGTTCTAATACATTTGGTTATCAGTTGTAAATTTTCAATGTAACTTGTGTAGAAAATCCAGTGACTGGAAAGATGCGGACCGGAAAACTGCGCACAAAAAAGTGCGCAATGGCATATTTGTTTTCTTAAATCGAGCATTTATAGACATTTACAAATAGTGACTACATGTAGAATGTAGTGTAATAAAAACATATTTCTACGACCCATGACAAATTATAAGCGTCTTTGTACAATTAGTTTGTATTTGTGCATTTTTTCTGCACGCAGTTTTCCGTTGCACAATTTTTTGGGAACGAGAAAGTCTAAATATTTGCTAGACAAAGATTAGATTTGTGGCTGGACATTGTCCAGATTGTGTCAATCTCGTGGACCTCTGACTTACTTGAGTCACCCCCCCCCCCCCCCACACACACACAATGTCCGACCATAATAATGACCAATGTCCGTCCATAGTGCTGACCAGTGTATGGACTGACAGCATTTCCATAATTGTAGACACCGCTTAGAGCCAGTTTAATAAAGACATTGGATTAACTCTTGCTTGTGAACCAGATCCCAGATTATCGTATTAATAAGATATCACGACTGTGACCATGTTTATGTTTTTCCAACAGAAACTACAGCTAAAGCCATGAAGAATTCAACATCCAACTTACTTGAAGACACAGACCCAAGGAGGTGACTCTACGACCCCTAAATGGATACAACCCACATCTGTTGTTGGGGATTAAGCTAATCCTTCAGCCCATATTTAAATATGGGTGTGATTCGCAATCAGCGCAGCGCCGTACACCGACCCCACCCCCGGCACGCCCCCCAGCGGCTGTACGCCGACGACACAGAGTACGGCAAGGGCGTGTTCATCGGGGACCCCAAGGTGGACCCCACCTACGACCAGCAGCGGCCCTCTGGGAAGGGGCTGACGACAACGCCGGCAGCCGACGAGAGAAACCGGCCGTTGAGGAGCTGGGGACTAGAAGGTACCGCGGATAGCTTCCCCTTCCAGACCTACGACACGAACAGCCGGGTCAGCGAGGGCACGGACGATGATCAGTACTCACTCAAAGGTCCAGCCTCCTCATCCATCTACCCGGATTACCCAGACGGGAGCCGGCAGTATTCGAACACGCCCCTCTCTGCATTTCCTCACCCGGGACACGCCTCGTCTCTACGTCACAACATGACGTCATCCAACACCGCCCCCGCATCCATCCACCACGACGTCGCCCCCTCGTCATCTTTCCACCCCTCCCCCTCGTCATCTCTCTACCCCTCCCCCTCATCAGACTCGCGCCTGAACCTGCTAGAACTGGGCGTCAACCCTGCCGCTTCCGGCCACCTGCAGGCCTTCAACCAAGCCCTGATGCCGGACCCGGTTTCAGCCACGATGGAGCCGGCATTCAACTTCTCTGAGGATTGCTTCAACCTAACGAGCCGGCCGTTCCTGGAGTGCTGGGCCATCTACGAGAACATGACGGACACTCTGGGGGAGAACGATACACTCAAGGCTCTGCTGGACATCGAGTACAAGTACTGGAACATACTGCTCATCATCTTCCCGCTTTTCACCGTCTTCGGCAACGTGCTGGTCGTCATGAGCGTGTTCAAGGAGAAAAGTCTCAAGACCGTCACCAACTACTTCATCTCCTCCTTGGCCATCGCAGACATTATGGTGGCCGTGGCCGTCATGCCGCTGGCCGTCTATATGGAGGTAAGTCATGCGTGTCTTTGTCACGTCACTTCCTTACATATCCACAGTTTCACCACGTCTGTTGTAACTGTACACCTTTCAGCCTTGACATGAATGTCAAAACCTGCACATAAATGAAAACGGAAAATGGTGTTGAAAAAGACAAAAGCTAGAATGACATATCACCTTAGAACTAAAGCATCCAAATTCCGGTTTGTGTTAAATGACGCGTGTCCTTTAAACGCAGCCAACCGTGAATTGAATTACAAAGTCGACATTTCCATATTAATCTTAGCGCTAGTTCAACCGGCATCAATTACCATTGTCAGTTGTTGTTTTTTTTCACCCGGCTAAATCTTTCATTTCCTGTTATTGTTTTTATGCAGCAGTTATTCATATTTGTTCAAACACAATCATAACATTCTTTATGTTTGTCTGTCAATATTTTGTATTTTATACACCACGCAGGCGTCAACTGTCAATATTTTGTATTTTATACACCACGCAGGCATCAACTGTCAATATTTTGTATTTTATACACCACGCAGGCGTCAACTGTCAATATTTTGTATTTTATACACCACGCAGGCGTCAACTGTCAATATTTTGTATTTTATACACCACGCAGGCGTCAACTGTCAATATTTTGTATTTTATTCCGTTTCTATTTCCAACTCATCATTTTTTATTCTCCATACGTTCGCTCCGACAAGATATCACGCGCATCCATCTCATAATCTCATTGGCTTCACGGTTATTGATCACCCCCCCCTCTCCCCCGCCACCCCACCCCCCGCCCCAATGCTCGACTCAATCTAAGCACTTACCAGACCTTTAGGTTCAACCAGCAGAAGTTTGAAGACTTGTCTGCCATTTGTGTCACACACGTATCGATTTTAATCTTGTCTGCTGTCTGTCTCTTCATGTCTGCTGTCTGTCTGTCTACATGCCGAAACCAGACAATTTTGGGGCTAGGGAATGGTTCCTTCCATTCCCGTCCACCCCCCCCCCCCAGCACACGCCAACACACACACAAACACACACACCAACACACACTAACACACACCAGCACACGCTAACACACACCAACACACACACCAACACACACGCCAACACACACTAAAACACACGCCAGCATAACAGATGGGTTATTTTATGATTGACACTTTTAAACAGTTCCCGTCCATGACGTCAGCTGGCGTCTATCACTTGGAAAGTTCTGGAACTTAGTTCACCATTTCCATAGACGCCAGTCTGAGCCTATACCCACCCCACTAATCTATCAGTTTGTTTTTTTTTTTGTTTTTTTTTTAAATAAATACCGTCGATATATATTTGTGATGAAAACATTAACTACAATAAATAAAACTGCCGTAGGAATTACAGAACATCAGACAAGGAGTAAAAGCTGGCTAAACGTTATTCAGTTATCACGAAGACTTCAAACATTGGGAATTTGCAAATGTTCGATAGCAACAGTTTCATCCGACTGATATTCGTGTTCCTCGCTGTAATAATCGCAGTTAGGCTTCCCTAAATATCCGCATCACCTCCAACCATCCACAACCACCCTCAACCATTTGTAAATAACAAACAGCCAACCCAATCTACCCGAGGTCATGTAACATACCTACACCCCACAACACCCCTCAACACCCTCCAGACGCCTACACCCCCACCCCACACACTGCCAATATTCCTACACCCCCACCACACACCTCCAATACTCCTACACCCCCACCACACACCGCCAATAATCCTACACCCCTACCCCACACACCGCCAATATTCCTACACCCCCACAACACCCCCACAACACCCCCACAACACCCCCACAACACCCCCACAACACCCCCACAACACCCCCACAACACCCCCACAACACCCCCACAACACCCCCACAACCCCTTCACAACACCCCCACAACACCCCCACAACACCCCCACAACACCCTCCACAACACCCCCACAACACCCCCACAACACCCCCACAACACCCCCACAACACCCCCACAACACCCCCACAACACCCCCACAACACCCCCACAACACCCCCACAACACCCCCACAACACCCCCACAACACCCCCACAACACCCCCACAACACCCCCACAACACCCCCACAACACCCCCACAACACCCCCACAACACCCCCACAACACCCCCACAACACCCCCACAACACCCCCACAACACCCCCACAACACCCCCACAACACCCCCACAACACCCCGATTCACCGCCCAGTTTGTCGCCAAGTTTTGTCTTACAAGAGAACAAAATATTTCGACCTGAAATACAACCCAATAAATCAATCAGAAAGACATGCTATTGATATAGATCCCTCAAATACAAGCGAATAAATCAATGAGATGGACATGCCTTTGATAAAGATCCCCTTCCCCAGAGAGCTAAACAAAGCCTCCAAACCACGATGACGAACACGTATGATTAAAATTATCAGCACATCAATATGCAAGACGTTCTCAAGTTCAAAGACGTTTCGGAAATGTCTCAGGCATGCTTTAGTTGTGTATACACAATTACATTTGCTGTGTATCCCGTGCTATGTATAGTTCTACGTTATGTGGAACGTTAAAAGTGAACACAGATAACACGACTTTAGAAAAACGTTATCTTACATTAGCTTGTATGTTAAACTTTGAAAGTTTCGATAAACCTTAAAGTTTGTTTAATGTCCGAGTTCAGATGGAACAACCCTTGAGTAGGGAGCTGAATGGAATACCTTAATATCATTTCCCATTTCCCATTTTATAATTTCAAAGCGGAAATGGGAGTGCACTCTTACATAGGATGTCTTGAAATTGTTGCTTGGCTGTATGTTGGGTCGATGGGTAGACAGGAGTAGTTGGTGGTATATGAGATGGTTGGGTCGTTGGGTGGACAGGTTTTGTCTGACTGCTAGGATAGTGACGTCACAGGGATAGACGGGTGGGATAGTGACGTCATAGGGATAGATGGGTGGGATAATGACATCACAGGGATTGACTGCTGTGATACTGACGTCACAGGGATTGACAGCTGGGATACTAACGTCACAGAGACAGACTGCTACCACTGTGATACTCAAAATGGCTACCACTGTAGCTATCGATGTGGCTACCACTAGCCATCAATATAGCTACCACTAGCCATCAATGTAGCTACCACTAGCCATCAATATGGCTACCACTAGCCATCAATGTGGCTACTACTAGCCTATATGTGGCTACCATTGTAGCCGCCCACTACGGCTACCACGATTTAAAGCAAGCATCGTAAGATAACCCAACCGGTCATGTGACCTATTAGCCGAGCCGGCTGTGTTGGAAAGAAACACGAGGAAAACTACTTACGTAATTTTCTCCCTAAAGGGTATGTCTGGGCCTTTTGTCTTCTCGTAGACTGTTTGATCGTTAGACTGTTGGTCAGTCTGTCTGAAGAGAATCAGTTTTAAGTTTGTTCGTTAGACGGTTGGTCAGTCTGTCTGAAGAGAATCTTAGATTTTAAGTTTGTTCGTTAGACTATTGTTCAGTGTGTCTGAAATGAATCAGATTTTAAGTTTGTTGTGTAAGTACATCAAAAAACCGATCAAATCTTGTGCAATACAAAATGTTTATTCTTGTTTAAATTTCTAAAAAAAATGAACTTATTGATCAAATCAACGAAATATTATTTGTATATAAAAAATAAACTACATACATGTATAATTATCAAGATGCATGCAAACAAATATTGATCTGTTATATCCTTTGCTTATGTTATTTCTAAACTTCTGATTTATTATCTAAAATATTTATAATTCAAGTTTTCAAAAAAATCACCTCGAGGCCTTATAGTTTTATTTCACTGAACATTTCTGTAGAAATCATTTGGCGTGATTACATTGTTGTGGAATTATTATGTGCCATGTGTCGACGCAATATTTTGCAATGGAGCTTTTGGTTGTAACACAACAAAACAGTGTATAATTCTAGAAAAAAAACGAAACATTGAGTTAGAACAGTATGGTTGGTTCTTGGAAAGCATAAATTATATATTGCATGTGCGTAGGCTATTTATAGACTATTTACAATTTAAATTCCATTAAAAGAAAACGGAAAGAGTAGAAGAAACGATGAGAATAGCAACATCAAACACCCACAACATTCTCCAGATCACAATATTATCTTTGGTGTGTCGTGTAATGATGAAATGAGGTCAGCGCGTTAAGGTTATAAAAATAAAACACGACAAACACACTGGCAAAAATAGCTTCCCGTATGCTAAATGTATGTGTGTATGCTATTTATGCCCATGAAACGAATCTAATATATTCTATGTGTGAAAACAAAGACGTTAAATCGACGATTTCAGAAGAGCTATCATTTTTTTTTACTGTATACCACTAGTTAGGGTCAGGGTCAGGGTCAGCGTCAGGGTCAGGGTCAGGGTCAGGGTCAGGGTCAGGGTCAGGGTCAGGGTCAGGGTTAGGGTCATTGGTCAGGGTCATTGGTCATTGGTCATTGGTCATTGGTCAGGGTCAGGGTCAGGGTTAGGGTCAGGGTTACTTTTGTTGACCTTTTCATCTTCACTTTCATCTACCTCTTCTTGCCACAATCTCTACGTCGTTCATTTTTTTCGCTTTTTATCCCGATCTTGTACCCCCCCCCCCCCCCCCCCATTCACGATTTCTTTTCCCCATATTCCCAATCATATTTCCTCTTTATACTCTTGTCTTTCCCCTCCATTTTCCCCCCTCCCCCTCATCCATTACCCCAAATATTCCCCTACCACCTATCTAAACATCTCTCTACACACGTAATTAAAATATATTGACAAATTCAGCCAACTTCTAATCTATTTTTAGAAACATTCCGTAACAATTTATTTATATTTAGTACGAGCAACAAAACAGAGTCAAGGTCACGTTAACTAACCAAATTTGGACGATTCACTGTTTGACGTTTGGTGTACGTATTTCATTGACAAATTGAATCTCCCTCCGTTGAATAATGCGTCATGACGTAATGAGTACAAATGTT